AACATTGACGATTAATTTTAATTATTACCGAGCGGCTGGCGCGAAAAATACAAGATGCCGTATTGATGTAGAATTAACTAGTCAAATGAGTAAAAATATCAACATGGAAAAAAGTCAGATGACATATTTGCAGAGACGCCACTAGTATAGGGTTACCATAATAGTCTAAATACTGACCGGGACCTGATCAAAAAATTAAAATGTATTGGTTGCCAATTTAACTTTATAAATTCAATTTTCAATACAAATCAATTTCAGTAATCAAACATGAAATTAAACAGTAAAGGCAGAGGCATATTAGTCCCTGATCTGACTGCAAAAAGTGGCATATCGTGTTTTTTTGCTAGCTATTTTTTGTAGTTGATTACAGGGGAGGGAGTGAACAACATGTACAGTTCATCAAATTTCTAGAGGCTTTCGACGGCTAGACAGAGAAAGCACTACTGACAGGCATCCCGACGGATTTACGCAATGAAAGTACACTCTGCGCATCAAGTATTTCACTATTTCATTCAGACGTAAATGTCAGATGTAAATTTCGCTAAAACATTTCTTTTATTTTCGTTTGTGTTTTTTGCTCATTACAGTTTAATAGAACCTAAGTATGGAGTTTAATAGCAAATTAAGAGGCCGCGTGATTAACAGTCAATCTCGCGAAATAATAGCCAATGTTATAGAGTTTATGAGAAGAGAAGGAAACTTTAATTCAGCTTCAATACCATTTAAAAATGTAAATGATCGTGTTGCTGCAGCCACAGGAGTATCTAAAAACACTGTCGTCCGCATTTCTGGAGAGAAAAAAAGAATCGATAACCGTGAGATATCGGAATTTTCATCACCAAGAAAAACCATTAAAAAACCAAAAACAGTTAATGATATAGATGAAGCTGCACAAGAATCAAATTTTATTTTTTTATTATTAGATAGCTATTTTTGTTTCTGAGTTGTGTTCATTTACAGGCTCAATTTTTTTCCGTTTCTCCTTTTTGATTTTATATGGGGTTTCAAGTTGTTTTTGACTTATTTCGACGTAAATCACAACAACACACTTTTTTAATAAAGCAAACAAGTGTTAAGAGGTATATGTACGTGTAAACTACAATTACAAAAAATTGATATGAAACCCATGAAACCACCAACAAAAATGTAAAGCTAGCTTCCGTACTAGAACATGGTGTCATTCGTCGAGATAATTTATCGTTTTGTTTAATAGATCAAGAAATGTAAATATTCCCCTGTTATTTTTTATAAAATTATAAGAGAAATAAATTTTTTTCTAAATAGTATAGTTTATTATTTTGTAGAAAAACAAAATTTCGAAAATTTTAGTAATGTTTCAGAAACAACCGTTATTAATAATAGGTACCATTTTCCTTAATAAGGTAGAAATAAAATATAAACTATTTCCACGATTTACAAAGGCCTACAAAAAAATTATAGGTATTTTCCGCTATCCTATAAAATTTATATTTTCTGACTCAATTTCAAAAGGTTGAAGGAATTCCAAAACACCTTTTATGGCATAATAATTATTTTCAATTCTACATACTATCTTTAGCTGCTTTTAAAAACGTCCTAAGAAAGTCCAATCAGACCAATTTAATCCCTAAACTATTCCACACTTTTAAAATTTAATTACCTAAAAATATTAAAAACTATTTAAAATAACTTGTTTAGCAGACTGTACAATAGCTATCTTAGTCACACGTAGCGCGTTCTCTGTCTGGGCGTCGAACACCTCTAGAAATTTGATGAACTGTACTACTATCCCGGTGGTGGGAGCTGCCGTGTTGCCAGATTTACGATATTTTTATAAAACAGGTCCTTTATAAGTCATAAATTCATTATGTAAAGGTTTGGATTTAAAAAGCGTGGCATTTAAGTAAAAAATCGTAGCATTTAGGTAACAAGCGTGGTATTTGGGTACTAGTATTGAATCGGAAATAATGGAGAGTAGTAGTTTTTCCGATGAGTGGTATGAAGAAATAGAACATGCAACAATTTTAATGATTTTAGAAGAAAATGAAACAAGTCGGGAATCATAACACGTCGGATCCCATCCCGTGGGGTGTCATGGAATATCATCAGAATTATTTGCACACAATAAGTAAATATACATAAAAATACACGGTGCCAGATCCTACTGATGTTTCCTCAGATGGCGTGATGGCATGAACAATGTCCTTAACTGTTTTTATATTTTTCAGATTTCTTCACTTGCTTCAGCAGGTCCGGTTTACACATAATGTACTTATAAAATTCCGTGAATGTTATTTTAAAATTGAATTTGCATTGAATCATGCTTTCGATAGTTTCTACTTGAAAGCGGTTGCGTTGTTTAATATGCTCGCACATTATCGCGGAAGGGAATAGATCCAAAATAAACAGAACACAACGGAAATTTGGAAAAGCATATAACTAAGATAGAGTCCGCACACTATTTTGGATCGGAACTCCGCGGAATGGATCGTAACGGATCGGAATTGATTGGATTACAAACTAAGCGAATTTTTCCGTGGATTCGCAGCTATTTAGTGGAATTTTTACGATGTTCTTACTTTAAAGACAACACCAATAAACCTTTTGAACCTACAGCTTTCCAAAATGTCTTATCTTCTTTCTAAATGTCTATAATTTTAAAAAATCCTAAATTTATTTTGCTAGACATTTGAAAGAACTTAAACAATCTTTGCTCATTTTCTGAAAGGTCTGGGAATAGATGATGAAATTCCCCATATTCTGGTCTTCTAAAACTACACGCAACGCCACAAAATCTTTGTTTCAAGTGTCCATTGCAAAATAGCAACCCACACACTAATTTTATCAAGCTAGTCTATACAAATAACTTTTTCCGAGGAATTCCGTGCTAATGTGCGGAGGTTCAGAATTACCATACCATTCCGTTCCATTTCAATCCGATCCATTCTGTTCCGCAAAAATGTGAGGCCTGCTTAAAGAAAACATGCAATCATGCGTCCAGCTAACTGGAAAATACACAGGATGGTTTTATCGGGTGTTGAAACCAACCAAATGAAACCTCAATGTTCCCAATATTTTTATTCACCGGGATATTTAGTAGATCAACCGGGACGACCGGGACAGAAGTTGCAAACCGGTGACATGTCCTGGTGTACCGGGACCAATGGCAACCCTACACTAGTAGAGCAATAAAATAATGTTTCTAACTAAAAATGTGGTTTTATATCCTATTAACACATGCCAAAATTGAAAATTATATCTAAACTATTTTCAGAAATATTAAAAAATATCTCTTTTAAAAAAGAAATGTTCAACTCCCTGTAACAAAAAATTGAAGCCGTTGTGGACACATGTTCATATAAATTTTTCTTCATAAAATGACCTAAGGAATCACACTCTACAATATTAGCATACCATTAAAAAACACTATGTATAAATTATAAAAACAGGGAAGCCATTTTGAATTTTTAAATAGTAATTTATGATCTGTTATCTTTGATCAGATACCAATTTTATCAGAAACCAATTTTAGTCAAAATCTGCTGACTTTTAAAAATAAATGTTTTTAAATGCTCACCCTGTATATATCTGACCGGAAGTATAACCGGTTTTGAGCCAAGAGGAAACCTTACCTGCATACAAATTTGAAGTTTTTCTCTAAGCCGTTTTTGAGATATCGCGCCAACAGACAGACGGCAAACAACAAACGGCGGACGGCAGACAGACCGACGGAATGAGGAAAACATGTTTATTTACAACCATATATGTAATGTTGTCATTACTAACGTCATTGAAGGTTGGGAAGTGTCACATTACACACCTCTACTTCCCGCCCTCACTTCCCGCCCTCATTTCCCGCCCTAACTTCTCGCCCTCACTTCCCGCCCTCATTTCATCTATTCTAGATGAATAATTTTTATATTTAAAAAAATAACACATTTTTTTGACAAATTTTTTTAATACCTATTTAATGGCAAATAATAAAAAACAACAATGAACTAAAATACAACAAACTACTTATTGATATTTATTATTCCCGAATTTAATATCTGGCTTTATCTGACATTTATTTATATTGGTGACAGTTGTTTACCCCGTAATCACAGTAACAATATATTTACTTGATTATTCTGAGAAAACCGTGCGCTTGGTAATTTGTCGTTAAATGTAATATTTTAGGTATGTTCAGAACGAAACAGAGATTTATTACCTTTGATCGAAATATGATGGTTTTAAATAAAATAGTATACAAACCTCGGTAGGAAGTTTCATTCCTGTCTCGAGATCATAGCTAACCTCGACGCTTCGCGTCTCGGTGATCTATCTAATCTCACGACAGGAATGAAACTCTTCCCACCTCGGTGTGTAATATACTATTTTCGTAATCTAGGGACCCGAAAACGGGAAAATCTAAATTTTCATGATTACAATACTTCCCTTTTATCGAGGGAAGTAAAAATAAAATAAGTATACTCAATCTCTTGAATGCTCTTCTTCTACTATTTTTAAAAGTAATCTTAGTTTTTCTTGTATGTTGCCGGCTGACTTTAAAGCTTTAAAGTCACACTATATCTCTTTCTCGTACTATACATGATTTGTTTTAAAAATATGAAAAAATTCAAAATTATAATTCAAATATGTTTTTGGAATAAAATTTAGAAGGTATTAAAATGTTACTTACCCGTGCCATACGCCACTGGCAAAGTTTATTTAACTGTGTTTTGTTTCTAATTTGTGTATCTTATGACAACAAAAATGTTTGCTGAGTGCATTTTTATAAAAAAAAATATCTATACTGGGGTACCACTATTTAATTCACTTCATTTGCACTAGTAACACCTAGAATGTGTTGTGTGGTAGTATACGATAGTAATAATTAACCCTACTCCCTATAGGTACCTTAAAACAAGTCACTGATGACCTATTTAATAGAAGAACGCAGGGCCGCTGAGAGGCATAGTGGGGCCCCGGGGCAAAACACTGGCAAGGGCTATATATTTGCAAACTAAGATTTTACCCACCTCTCATTATGATTCGGGAAAAAATTATCATTAAATAATGTCAGCAGCAATAAACACTACATAGGTACCGCGAATAATTTTTAAATGTCCTAGTTTTGATGCGTAACTATACTCTCGATATAACTATTTTCAATTTCACTACACTATTTTTCAAAACGACTATCCTATCCAACATAACCGATAAAAATGTAATTTTAAAAAAAACTTATTCCGACACCGATGACTACATAAAACGAACAAACCAATTGGTACCAAAGTATTTCCCTATTTATTTGATTTGTTAATGTATTTTTATGTTTAGTTTCTCGAGATAAGACAATTTTGTGTTTGTGTTTATCCTTTCAAACACTTTATCGTCTTGCATTGGAGACGGTCTTGATAAGAAAGACGTAATTTTGGAATTTGCACTTTTTCCAACATTCAACATTGAACATAAATGTCTTTTGTGCCGGCATCAGTATCATAAATCTTATCTATGATTACGCGCGGTTATTTTAAGAAAATTGTATAAACAAAATTAACAGTGTTTATGTCATGTTTATCGATAAAAATTCATTTATAAATAAATAATACCGCTTTTCGGGAGCCAAATTTTTTTTTGTGTGAAAAATAAAGTTTTGTATATAAGTAGCGTCAATAAAAAAATAGTAAACATTCCTTGAGTGAGAGGAAAAATACATCAACATCGATTTCTCAATAAAAATATAACAAATATTCATAATTGACCTTTTAGGTCAAAAGAGGAAGAACAAGAAGTCTTTTGTAAGATTGGATGCCCGATCTTAATTAATTGACTGATAAAGATTGGAAAGGATTTGTGAATATTGTAGATATTTGAAATTTGTTTTATTTATGCCCTATATAAAGGTTAAGGAAATTTAGTTTTACCATAGGGTTTTGGGAATTAATTAAACTTGAACAATTGCAATATTTAATTTTTCTATGATTACTTCTCTTATAGTCCAAGAGCCAACGACCAAAACCATGTATGATCGTTTTACGACCGAAATCCTATATACAATTGTTAGATGTGAATCCGACCCGACTAAAGCCTGAATAAAAGAGGAGTGCAATAAAATGGGGCATATATAACGACACATTCCATAGGCGTACTTTGTAAAATAACTTTTTATCATATAAATAAGGTCACGGCATTAAATTTTGAATGAAAAAAGTTATATTATTTACAAAAATCAAAATAAACCTTATGCATCTGACCAGGACTGCCGAGAGCTATGATGCGGCCCCGGGACAAAAGACTGGCAAGGGCCTCCCCATACAGCACACATTATTTCAGAAGTCTTTCAGAAATATATATTTCAAACGTTTCAAACATTCAAGCACACGTTTCTGAAATATTTTAGTTAAATATTTCACTGAAAATGTTTCTGAAACATCGTTTACATGTTACATAAAAGGTTTGTAACGGGTTATGTTGTAAAAGGCTAACACACACAAAAGTTTGACATTTTATCTGTCTTGTCAGGTAACAAAATGTCACTTTTTATAATTACTTTTTTCCCCGAGAAAAAAGCGTTTCCCCAAAAGTGAGTACTTTTTTCCCGAATTTATATATACATAAGCCAAAATCTAATACTCCTCTACCTTGTTTAATAAATAACTATTTTATAAGGAATATAAGGGATGAAGAATAGAGATTTTAAATATTTGAAACGCTAGTACAAAATAAATCAATATATCCACTTATTGTCCACTTATTGTCGACAAACCAGTTTGGTTTTACAGAAGGAAAATCAACAAATGATGCGCTTGTATCACTCACAAACGACATTGTCAAAAGTATCGACTCTGGTTTGTCTACCATATGTATATTTGTAGATCTAAAGAAAGCTTTTGATACCATTAGTCACATTCAGCTTATGGAAGTTTTGGATGGAATAGGATTTAGGGGAACACCGTACAAGCTTATGGAGAGTTATATTCAAAACAGAAAACAATGCGTTAAAATAGACGACACTAAAAGTACCTTTCTAACGAGTGAATACGGTGTCCCTCAGGGAACTGTCCTGGGTCCCCTGTTGTTTAATCTATATCTAAATGACATCTTTAAAATAAATAGCAAGGGTCGCATAGTGAGTTTTGCCGATGATACGGCTGTAATATATCAAGACAAAAATTGGCAAGATCTAAAAAGTCTAGTAGAAATAGATTTCGCAAACATAATCAAATGGTTTGATCAAAAAGAACTTACAATCAATACAGACAAAACTCACTTCATGGCATTTGCTTCATATTCCAGTTATTTGCCCCAATATACTACTTTGTTAATAGATTTGGATGGAGAAAGGGTGGACATTAGATCTGTTTCGAAGATAAAATACTTAGGATTAATACTAGATTCACACCTAAAATGGGATATACACATCGAATATTTACTAAAAAAACTAAGAACAGTCAATTATAAATTAAAATATTTAACTAGGTATTACGATACAGAGCAACTGAAAATAATATATTACTCACTATTTCAAAGCCATTTATCTTATGGAATTGTTGCCTGGGGAGGTACATATAAGGTACACATACACAAATTAGAGGCTATTCAAAAGTATATACTCAAAATAATATTCAAAAAACCAAGATTATATACTAGTAGTACACTTTATAGTGAAACCAAAATTCAAGATATTCGACAATTATATTTTGTAAATCTCATTATACATCAACACAAAAATCGAAAGGAATTAACCAAAATTCATCATCAATACTCTACCAGGTATAGGTCAAATGATGTTTTCTCCGTCATCAGGGCAAAAAAAGATTTACTACAAAGATCATATCTATATTTAGGGCCAAAATGTTATAATCTAGTCCCCTCAGAAATAAAAAATCTTAATCACTTTAACTTATTCAAAAAATTTGTCAAAAAGTGGTGTAATACATTAAGTTGCTCAGATATCCACGTCTTAATTGAGGGTAAATAAATAAATAAAAAAAAAAATAATTGAAAATAAAAAAAAAAACAAAAAAAAAATCTAAAAAAATCATTTTTTTTGTTCCTCTTATAATCATGTATTACGTGTACCAAAAAGTTATAATAATTAATTATTATAGTTATTATTATTACTATTGTTGTATTGTTATTGGTATTATTATTATTATTATTATTATTATTATTATTATTATTATTATTATTATTATTATTATTATTATTATTATTATTATTATTATTATTATTATTATTATTATTATTATTATTATTATTATTATTATTATTATTATTATTATTATTATTATTATTATTATTATTATTATTATTATTATTATTATTATTATTATTATTATTATTATTATTATTTTTAATTATTATTATTATTAATATTATTATTGTTATTGTTGTTATTATTATTAGATGGTTATTAGTATTAATCTATAGTGCAATATGTTAATTAGATGAAAGTATTATAAAAACACTTGTCAGAGACACTAATTATTTATAGTTAATCCCACGCACAGACTTGCTCTTCTGTGGGACTATCATATTTATTTTTCCTAATATGGCTTATATTTTACACTAACTAATTCCACTGTCATCAACACTTTTACATAAATGGTTGTCTGTAAATGATTTAAAACAATTAAAATATTAAAGTCATTAACCGTGGACAGCATACGATGCAATGGAGACTGACATAATCTCAGAGTAAGTAAGTAGTAAAGAGAGGACAGTAAACAATGTTTGTGTCGCCATGATAATATGGTCGAGAATTAGGCATTCCAAACAAATGAATTGCCAGTGGGCAGGTTTGGTAGATCTGACGGTTACGACATACGATGTATTCAATCTAAAATACGTAAAATCATGAATAATGGATTACATTTAAATATTTTATATTGAACGCTATAAAAATATTAATTAAAAAAACTGCTTGTACATTTCTTTAAAAACTGGCAGGATTGGCGACTGATATTTCAAATAAATATAGCGTCCAAGATGCAAGACTATGTCGCTACCCCCTTAGATATACGAGACCTTCCCACTGGCAGATATTGTTTGACAGGTCGTTGGAATGCCTAATTCTAATTAGAGATAAATAGATTAATATTTATATCTCTTTAATTGTATTTGTCAGTTTTACAAAGCTTTTCTCAGACAATTATTCCAGTGTTTAATTTAAATTTGTTCGTGTTGTGGTGTTAAAAGTAATTGTTATTAATATTATATTCATAACAAAAAAAGTCATATTTTGTTTTCACTTCATTAAAAATGCACCTACCTACCTTTTAAAACATTTTATTTTATATTCAACTTGGTCAACATTTTCGAATTTAAAATGACCCAGCGAAATTGTTTTACGGTACGCTACTGCTGAGAATTCTAAAACGAGTGAGAAAGCCTTCATTAGAAAGAGAGATACTGATTATATGATAGCGACATTAAAATTAGGCATTCCAACGAGCTGTCAAACAATATGTGCCAGTGGGAAATTCTTGTATATCTAAGGGGGTAGCGACATAGTCTTGCAACTTGGACGCTATTTTTATTCGAAGTAGTACTCGCCAAGCCTGCCAATTTATGAAGAAATGTATAGGTAGGTTTTTTAAATATTATTTTTATTGTGTTTGACATAAAATATTTAAATGTAATCCATTATTCATGATTTTACGTAAAGTAGATAGAATACACCGTATGTCGCCACCCTTAGATATACCAAACCTTCCCACTGGCAATTCATTTGTTTGGAATGCCTAATTGTATAACCACGTATAACTTTATGCAGTGGTGGCCTATCTGCTATTATATTATCTAAGGACATAATAAGTTAGTTTGTTCTGGGAGTGGAAAGAATGAATGTGCAGCTATGCCTAGAATTGATTCTAGGAACAAAACAGTTAAGCTAAGCACACAGAGCAGGACATTTAATTAAATGGTGTACCTACAATTTTGTAAATGAAAATTATTGAATTGAAGCTCTGCATTCCCAACTATGTTAAAAGCTGGTCTTGTGGATATGGCATACGAGGTATGGATTGCAAGCATTTGTAACAGCATCCCTTTTCCAGTAGGGTAGTTCTGTGCATCGGTAGACAAAATTAATTAAAATACATATATATGATACGGGTATGAATAAATAAAGTCTGACTTATCTGTCAAAAGAAAAGGTTTATTACAGTAAAAATATGATTAAATTTAAACGAAAACTTTTATTAGACCGATCAGATGTATTAAAATTTTCATTTTAAATACAAATAAGCATTAAAGGATGCGGTATAAATAAAATGTCTGGCTCTTGAACGTGTACTATACATTCTGCAACTTAAATTACTGCCCTCCTTTCTTCTCTAGACTATACATTATAAAAATCATACTATGATACACGTCGGTAAATTTTTTCGCCAAAATTTCTGATATTGACCTTTTCGGGTTCAGGATAATTGAATTTATTGATTTTATACGTTTTTTTTTGGCCATAGATAAAATATTATTTTATCTAAGGTTTTTGGCCGTAATGTGGTGCAAAAATTTTTGGTAGTGAACTCTCGTACTATAATCGGCATCATTGTATAAAGAACTATATAGTAGGATAATCGCCATGTAAAAGTTATTGGAGGCAATCGCGCCCGACATCTATTGGTAAAATCATTGAACTAACGATTTTATTTACTGGTTAGATACGCCCTCTACGTCAGATGTTAGAACTTTATAAGTGACAATTTCGTCAAATTAATTGTCAGTATATATTTTTTTAGTTATTTAGATTAAATATAAATAAAAATTAGTGATTCTTGTAAAGAATCAATAAATAATAGCACTCCACAAGATATTCGTCTATATTTAGAAATAAACTGAGATTTTAATGAAACTAAAAGCAGTCTGATTATCAGCGTTAAAAAGTAAAACTTTTTCATAAGCCTTCATAACGAAAATTTAGAGTACTTGTCTACGAATCGAAGGGTTCCGAGTTCAAACCCCCGAGTGGTTACTTTTTTTTATTATTTAATTTTATTTTCTAAATTCTTAAAACTTAAATTAATTTCAAAACATTAATTTTACGTTAATAACATCTAAATCTTCATGCTCAAATTTCGTCTTTTTGCTATGGCCACTCGGGATCATCAAATTATAATAGAATATTATAAGGTCCGGTAATTTTATTTAAATCTTTTGACAATGAAACTAAAAATGTGTGTGTCTAAAGGAGAAATATACCGAAAATAACAAGTATTTAAATTTTGCTAATAAATTTGTATTAGGTATGTGTTAAAAGAAAATACATCATTTTGGATTTGAATATACAGTGTGTCGCAAAATGTCTGCACCATAAAAACGCACCAAATTACATTTTTTTTAATCTACGTAAAAAAGTGCGAATTCAATTTTTTTTACTGAAAATTTATGGTACCTAATAGGGTTATTCATTATAAATTATCCTCCCTTTATGCTATAATTATTATTGTATAATGTTTACATTGACCGAATTTTGTAAAAATGTCATCAAATGGCCATATCAGTGGTGTGCATATTTCACAGGATATATAGGTATATTATTCAAATTTCGAAATGATATTTATTCTTTCCTGATTAATTAAACGTCGAATATCATAGATAATCTATGTCGAATATCTTATAAATATTTACACTTTTTCTTTCTCACTGTAAACTACTTATTTGGATTATTTTATTATCAAACATAATAGTTGTGATTTTCATAGCTTTTACTTTAATAATGTTAACTTTTTCATGTTTACATTATCAACGTTAAATTACTCGAGAACAGACGGTATAAGATAGGGTTATCAATAATATACATTTGTGAAATTAGAAAAAAAATATCCCAGAAATTTAATAACATAGAGGGTATCCCATTTAAAAAAGTTTATTTGTGGTGTATTCCGTGAAATCTGAATACGTGTTTTTATGGCATATTTAAAAAAAGTCAGTCATATTCACAAACTTTTATTTAAAGCTTTTTTTGAATATGCAATAGTGGTTATAAAAGGTGTCTTTAATAATGAATAATCTTGTACATGATCTCAAATAAATTTGTTGAAATTAATTTCATTTGTAAAAATGTCACTTCCGCTTCTCCCGTATTTCTAAAAAAAATTGTGTCCAGGTCCAGGATTTGATGGTGGTAATATTAATTCTAGATACATTTTTCAAGTAACATTGTTCTCCTGTTTTTAGAAATAAAGGTTAATGTTTAGCCAAATTCATATATTTTTTTTGGACACACAGTATGTTTGTATAATATTAAAAACTTCCCCTACTAAATATTTTGGCTCAATCAAAGTAGATATCTTAAATTGATTATTGTTAGAAAAAATAGAAATAATATTAAATATAATAAAGAAATTAAAAAAATAATTTAATTTAATAATTTGATTTAAAAATTGAAATTTTGGGTTTATATGTATAAAAAATTGTAGATTTTAACTGCTTTTTTTTTGTTCTAACTTGATTTTTTGGGGATGCCACACCCTCCATCTCCCTCTAGGGGATGGTGGTGGTAAGATATTTATACAAAAATGTTGCAAATCATTTCTATTGTAAATATGCCAAAAATAAGATTTTTATCTCGTCTGTAACTATTTTTAAATGCCAGCCCACACTTCCGAACTATGAAGATTAAAGTCGAAATTTTTTCTAAGTTCAAAAAAAATTTGGAAATTTTTTTTCAAAAAAATTGGAATTTTGTGTTTTTATGTATAAAAAATCGTAGTCTTCAACTGTTTTATTTAAAAAGTTCTTGACTTGATTATTTGGAAATGCCACCCTCACCATATCAGATAGGAGTGGGGAGGGGTGAATTTTTTAAAGCGATTTTTATTTTTATGGGATAATACATCCATATACCAAGTTTAGTTTTAATATTTCGACCCTATCCCCCAAAGCCGAACCCCAACCAATAATCCTTATAGAACCCATTGTGTTATTTACTTCAATATTAAGAATTCATTTATATTATTTACCATCCATCTTAAGGGTTTTTTTATTACATTGTTACGCACCAGATTAAAGAAATAACCTGTTGTTTATAATTACTTATGCTAAGTACTTAGGTATTTAAATTAAAAATACAATTTTTGCAACACTTAAGAAATGTACCTATTATTATTATTATTATTAATATTATATAATTTATTTTAAATTAATTCGGATAAAACCTGTAAAGAAAACGAAAAACAAAAGCATATTTTCTATTTTATTAATTTCAAAACAGTTATAAATACACAATTTTTTTTTGGGAACTCGTTCCTTTATTAACAGTAAAATAATTCAGTAATAAAACATAAACACAACTCATTCACAATACCTACTACCCGTAGACGCACTAACGCACAATAACAAACAGAAAATAGTCCAAACATTCAATCACGAGTGTATAAAATTTCATCCAAGAGCTAAAAATAGAAATTTATCGATCGGTCTCAGTCATTCTTAAAAATTTCTGCTGGACCCTCAACTCCGCCCACTGCAAAGGAATATCGACTTATCCATATTCACTAGCGCCATCTATTAGCAGTATCCATTTCGCTCCAATGAAACTTCCATAAGGTGAGACTACTATTTAGTTCTTTATACAATGTCGGCATCGTTGTCACAGTAAGTGACATCTGCTGTCAATAGATCGAAGTAATTAAACAGACATAGTAGTTTTCTATTTACATCATGGCACTTTCAACATGTTTAAATCATATTCCAAATTCCAATCCATGCATGATCCATGTTTCAATCAACCAAAAATTATCCCACGTAGACAGGGTAATGTGAAATTAGAGAACATTTTCCTTGCCATTGAACTTCATCGATTTTCATACGTTACCGATTTTGAGATATTCGAATAGATTATCGATTAAAAATAGTATTCACATTTAAATATTTAGATATCGTAATAACTGGAAAACGAAATTCGCGTAGTAATTAGCGAGATTGAAAAAAATTAAATAACAATGAAATTATAACTTTATACTATAAAATCGAATAAATTCGTTGTTACCGATCTCAGAATAATAATTAATCGATTGTCAACTTACAATGTTGCCAAGTAAAACTTTATCTAATTTATCTTTCTATTCTGAACCTGAGTCCCACCGAACTTAAAGACCTAGCGGCGAAATGTGTATGTATATAGTAATAAAAATCCAATTCATGATAATTGGATATATATAAATGAAAAATTATGTAGAAAACCCGACTTTATTATAAAATGTTTGATGTTTTTATGAAAATGGTGATACTCGGCAACCTTGGACGAATATATGTGACACATTTTAAAGGAGCCGCCAACTCGCCAACATCATCGATCACGTGACCATTTCGCTGGGCTACGTGTACAACGTGTAAGCCAAATTCGACCGAAAGAAGTACCGTAATCGTAATTTTCTTTTTAAAACCATCACTGAAGGAGACGTGACTACTCAGAAGGGGGGCGTTTAATGAATAAACTGTGATTTATTAGTGAAATAGTTATTAAAATCCCTGCAAAATGGGAAGTAAGTACTTTATTTACTTTAATAATCTTTATAACCTCTCGTTTATTTTTGTGCGAGTTCTTAAACCATTTTTTATATGTTTTACTAATTTTATTTAGATTCTAACTGTATTTTTGTTTGCAGTTAAATTTTTGGAAGTTATTAAGCCCTTCTGCAGTATACTGCCAGAAATAGCGAAGCCCGAAAGAAAAGTAAGCCAATTTTTGTTTTTTTCAGATATATTTTTCCATGGCGTATTGTGTATTATGTTTATATAGTGTAACTAAATTAAGGACATATGCTGGCAACTGGCCCATTAAATGTTCAACTAGTTTAATTTACGTTGTTTTTAATATTTTTCATTCATATCTACTTTCCCATCTGTTCAGGCTTAACATGTGGCATTTTTTTGTTACAGATCCAATTTAGGGAGAAAGTTTTATGGACAGCAATAACGTTATTTATCTTCTTAGTATGTTGTCAGGTAAGCTTATCTAATTATTTAATCTAGAGTAAAATCATGGGCATGATTTTAGAGAACAGTTTGATGAAATCTTTCTAAAATATGCTGATGCTATGTTGTGTTAAATGGTCTATTCCTAGGGAATACAATGTACTTTTTTAACATACCTCTTTTTACTTTAGATACCCCTTTTTGGAATCATGAGCTCAGACTCGGCGGATCCTTTCTACTGGATTCGTGTCATTCTGGCTTCAAACAGAGGTACCCTTATGGAATTGGGTATTTCACCAATTGTGACGTCTGGTTTGATCATGCAGCTTCTGGCTGGAGCGAAGATCATTGAAGTTGGTGATACTCCTAAAGACAGAGCCTTATTTAATGGTGCTCAAAAATGTAAGTCTCATTTTCTTTTTTATATTTTATAAATGTACTTTTATCTCTGTACTATTTTATATATACTTTTACCATGTTATCTTTACTATTATTTTCTTGGAGATGAAATTTGTATTTTTAAATTTCTTTTCTTCGGCATTTTCTATCTAGATTCTTTTGGGTGCTTTTTGGGGTCGTGGTTTTCAAATTAATACTTCAAAATGTTGTTTTTAAATCATAGGTTTCAGCAGGGTTGACAGGTACATGTTTTTTTGCACCTATATAGGTTTTTTAAAAAACCTAAAAGTGAAAATTCTGTTATTTTAGGTTATTTAAGATGAATATTAAGAATTCACAATTTTACTAATCAACTCTCCAGAGAAAGGGTGTCTATAAAAACATATGCAAACATTTCAACAAAGGTTATAACCACATCTTAATATTGATGTTAATGATAGTGATAATAACCTAAAAACATACTTATATATTTTTTAATTCTGGGTTTCGGCAACAGGATTTGTCAGCACTAAAACCTGTGTCCAACATTAATTACAATTTAATAAAAGAAACCAATATTATCAACATGTTTAAAAAATTGTTATCACAAATTTATGATTATAAATTCTTAGAAAAATACTTAATAAAAATTAAATTAAAAAAAAACAATGGACTAAATATAAATTAAAAAAACACTGATTTAATAACAAAATTTTGAAAACCTTATCCCCAAAGTAATTCTTTATTATTGGTTTCATTATGTGCCATTTAATAAATAAATCACTAAGTTTGATTAGGATTTTTAATTACTAATTATAGAATGTCTTTATTTTTCCCTTCAATAATCTATTAAAATTTCTTAAGGGTGTACCACTACACCATGATTATTTGATGATAATTAATAGTTCAAAACATTCTTTCAACTAAAAAGTCAACAATACCTTCCACGTTTCAAAACAATAATACTCTGACCAACTATTTGGCAAACATGCTTAGATTTTTAGTATTTTTTATTATTTATAGTACCTATTTGATAAAAAAAATTATTTCTAAAAAAAATTAATACACAAATAAAATTGAGGCATTTTAAACAAATACATCTCAAAAAAAGTTAAATAAACTTTTTTCTATAATGTATACTTTATCAATTATTTACAAGTTGTCAAATATTTATACTTTTTACGTTTTTTTCAATAAAAAAGATTACATACCTATTTATTAATTAAATCGAAACGTATGTATAGTATTTTTAATACAAATACCAATGCATGTCATAGATCAGTTATGAAATCACGACCTTGCAGTGTTGTCTAATCAAATCATCAAAACACTCGAGAAATGTGGGAATTTTTGAAATTTCAAGAGAATGTTGAAAAAATTAAAGGTACAAAGGCATGTGGAGAAGTCATAATATCAGTGAAGATACCTACTTATTATTTAAAAGCAAGAATACAATTGTTAGTAAATCTCACTACTTTCAATAACGGTTCTGGTTTTCAATTATTGAAGATAGCCAGTAATCCTCCAACTATAGACTGATATCTTTGCTTCCCTTCAACTCTAGACATCAAGATTCTTCATCATACCATTTAAAGGACATTTGCAAAATGTTATGCTCAGTGGATTCTTTAGCAATATGCAACTGATATATTATTCTTCTTGTTATATATTCAATAATTTTTCATAAAAAATCATTGTAAAAAGAGCCTCGATTTAGGAAAGGTATTGAATTTGACTATAACTGAATTTGGAAACAACTGAGTTAGACTGAATTTAAGATAATTAATTAGACTGGATATAAAATAATAAATGAATGTTTTTCAAGTCCTTAGGTTCAGGTGTTTATACCCGTTTTGATGACATTTTGTGACGTCAATTTGTCGTAGCTTCAATGGGAGCGAATTTAGGTGGTTAAAAAAGGGGGTGGTAGATTTATGTGTCTTGAGAAATTCTTGGAATTTTGAAAAGAAATCTTGTCAACATCGGTCTTAATCTTTGAACTGACTTATAAATACGTTAAGTATTTTAATGGTTATTATTTCGTGAAAACAAATATGTTTATGGATCGAATTCTCATTGGATAACTTTTTATCTTTTCTGTAATATTAAGGCGTTTTCAGAAACTTACTCGAATCAGAAAGATTATGGATCCTATTGTTTGTTTACCTATGGTTACCAACCTAATCCGTGTTCAGAAACTAATAGATTACTGATCCAGCTTTGTGATCGAGATCAATATTTTGTGACCAAGATTTTATAAAGGAATAATGCAACTTTTTGGTGTTTGGTGTCTGCCACTAGTAGCTTTGAAGTTTTTTCTACATTCAGTTAGTTGTAAATTGTAATCTTTGTGCTCATATTGTGACTATTAGTCAGACTACAAATGGGTTTAAATAGAATGGTTATTTAACAAATAAGGAGAGGAAGTCAAAGATTGACAGACATAGATGAACAGGAACAATAATCCAACTCGTTTGTAAACTGTCAGCACTAAATTCAGTGATCCTCATGAGGGTAAACTCAGTAATCTGGATTTGATATCTATAAAAGGTTTCCGAAAACGCCTTTACAGAACAGAAATATTTCTTTTATTTATTACGCATCATAGATAGGATTTAATTATCGAAAAGATTTTGTTGTAAAATGTAGGAATTTGAATTTAATAAGAATGTCACTTTTCTTTAATAAAATATGAAGGTACCTGGGTGAGGTAGGTTACAGAATGAGTCCTTGTATTTCTTTTTTGCATTTTTTACAAATCGTTCTAGTACTAATTTTTCAATTTTCTGATATTTTTTTTTTATAAAATAATTGTCTCCTCTGTCTACTCATTTTTATTTTACACTTTTCTCTTCACTTTAATTTTAATAGTTTTAATTAACTTGTGCACAGTCACATGCTCAATAAAATTTGTCAAATGAATCCACTTATGAGTTTTCTTCCCTTTTATATTATTTTGTATTGTGATTTGTGCAAAGAAGTTCGACAAGATTTTTACAGGAAAATTCCGGTGCGAGGCGATTTCTTGATTTCACAAGTTCTGACAAGACTTAAATAAACTTAATAAACCAATACAAGATATGTTAAAATACGAAAGTGCTATTTCTTGTTGTTTGTGTTTGCATGTAAAAATACATACTTAAGAGGAATACATACCTCTACTTAATATTTGATTTATATTTCTCAAGCGATTTCATTGAATTTTTTTTTACAGATTTAACACGAAATTTTATAATATACATGTTGGGCCACCAGTTACGCCTCGGTCTATGAGGCCAAAACTATTTGATTTTTTTATAATTTGTATTCACAGCAAGATGTATAACAAAAAAGACTACAATTTAAAAATAATTTCAATTATACAGGGTTCTTCAAGAAAGTGATACATATCAAAGTTAGGTTTTTTGAAATGAGACGCCCTAGGTTTTATTTTATATTTGAATTACCTTTGCTTTTCCCATTATAGCAGTACCAAATAATATGATAATATACAGGGTATTCCATACGCTACAACCAGTTTTATATGAAAATCGTATTGATTTCAATGACCTGCAAGAAAAAAATTGCAGTGAAAGGTTTTCGATATTTGTCAATACACTACTTTTTCAATTAGAAAAAAATGTAGGCAGGGTGGGTTAAAACTCAAATACATCAATTTTTTTAAATTAACCACCCTATATTTTATATTACTATTTAAAAGTACCCTAATTAAAGTTTCATTTGAGTTAAGCATTAAAATTTGGAAGATTTTTAAATTTAAATGACAAAAAATCACAAAATAGTTTAATTTTAACTGGCCACTGGTTAACAGGAAACAGACTGTTAATTAGTGATTAGATTTTAACTAGCTGTAATTTATAATCGAATAAAAAGTTTTTAACAATTCCTATTAGGACTAACATTCAGTTAAAAATAAATATAAATAGCAACCAATTCTAAACTCATTCCATTATAATACTTTATTCTAACTTTAATATATTTTTAAGGTAACTTTGATACTTCAATACCATATTACTAACGTCATTACTATTGAAATATTTATTTTTAAAAAACTTCACTTTTTTAATATTACCTTTAGTCAAGAATGTATTTCGAGTGTTAGTTAAAAAATGCTTAGAAATGTGAGTTGGACTTTTGAAAACCACCATAAATATTATTGAAGGCTACATTTTTCTAATTAAATAAAATCTGTCAAAATATCACTTAATAACAATTATAGTTGGTTAATTTCTAATTACCAATTAACAAACAGTCTATTTATTATTACCTGTGATCAGTTAAAATTAGAATATTTTGTAAATTATCTTTTTTTCATTTAAATTTAAAAGTTTCTCAACATCATTAACTTTAGGTATAGCGATTGCTTAACTCAAATAAAACTTTAATTAAGGTACTTTTAAATGATAATATAAATTTAAAAAACTGAGAAAATGATGTATATTTGACTCACCCTGTTCACATTCTAATTGAAAAAAGTAGTGCATCAGCATAAATTTCGACTAATATCGAAAACCTTTCACTGCAAAAAATTGGTTTTCCTTTGTTACTTTTGCAGCATACAGGTCATTGAAATCCATACGATTTTCATATAAAACTGGTTATAGCTTGTGAAATACCCTATAAAATCTCATACTTTTTGATTTTATTATATTGGGAAAGCGAGGACAATTCAAACAAATAAAATACAGGATGTTCCATTTAAGAAATCCTAACTTTGATATGTATCACTTTCTTGGAGAACCCTGTATAATTGAAATTATTTTTAAATTGTTGCCTTTTCTGATAATACATATTGCTGTGAAAACAGATTTAAAAAAATCATTAGTTATGGCCAGAGCTGTCACAATTACCATTGCAAAGTAATTGAAGTACCAATTATCAACCTAGGCAACCAAAAAACTATACAAATTACTAATTACTTTAATTGTTCAAAAGTGCTTTCAATTATAATTCAATTGCTAGTAATTCAATTACTTTATCTGCATCAAATACCTTTAAAGTAATTGAATTATTCCAATTAATTAAATTACCGATGAATTTGGTATAACTCATATCTCCAACAACTGAGATATAACGGTTCATGGATCGCCACTGGACATGAGGCTATATGAATTAATACATATTTCCATAGATTTTTATTTATACTTACAAATAGAAAAACAATTAAGACATGGAATATAAATAGCATTACTGAAAAATATGTATTGCAAGCCCCCAATTTAAGCAATGCTCTGTACACAGTGTGACCCATTTAGAATGGAAACATCCTGTAAAATGTTTATTTTTGGTACAATTTCAACCAAACTTTTTTTTAAATAGGCCTTCAAGAATAACTATCCTGGCACAGTATTTTAGAATTTAGATTCAATTTCTTTTTTTTTTTTTTTGAAAGGTGAAAATTTACCTGGCAATTTTTCAGTTTAAAAACTGTTAGCACCTCTGAAATCGGAAGCCTTTAAAACGGCATTGTACCACCAAATATCAAACCCTAATTTTTGTTATTAAAAAAATGGCCATTTTGAAAATGTATAAACTAAAAAACTACATTTTTTTAGAAATATTTGGGAATCTAAAATTTTTATTTGTTGGGAACATATAGAAATTCACTTTGCATTATAACTAGTATAAAAACAAAGAAACGCCACTGGTTTCGAAAACTTTTCAAATAGTAAAGATTTTCTTATTGTTAATTAAAATTTCCAAAAATATTGCTATCTCCTACTTTTATACCATTTGAAGGTAATTTCTCTATTGCTTCCAATAAAAAGTAAATCGTATCAGACATTGAAATTTAAAAGTTAGACCTGAAAATATTTCTGAAAACAGACTTTTTCAACCTCTACATTTTGAAAAAGGTTTGATTGAAATCGGAGGAAAATTAAAGTTTATATGAATTTTATCTACTATTAATATCCACATCAAATTTAATTTTGTTGCCATTTTTTCAATAACAAACATTAGTCTTTGCAAAATTGGCATAATACCGATTTAAAGGCTTTCAAATTCAGTGTTGTTGTTTTTTAATTAATAAAATCGCTGGGTAAATTTTCATCTTGATCGCATCAAAAAAAAAATCATAAGTAAAATTGAATCTTAATTCTAACATATATTTTGCCACAATAGAGTTCTTGAAGGCCTATCAAAAAAAAAGTTTTATTGATATCGGACAAAAATAAATATTTTACAGATGTTTCTATTTTAAATGAGTCACAGAGTACACTGTATATATTTTATTAGCAGAATATTAATTTGAGAGTTAGGTAGTACTAGAGTGAAAGACTCCCTATTAAATCCTGGTGCTTAATGATTTTAAGTCTTATCTTATGTAAGGACTGTTTTTTTTTTTCGATTATAACAAAATGAAAACACCATTAAACCATCATGGCGCTCATAAATAAATTTGACGATCTGTCGCAACAAATATTGTAAATTAATAATGCCGATGCTGCCCACTGTTATAGTAGCACTGGCCTTGTCACACATGCAAGAAAACTAAAATATAAGGTTACCCTTGACAGGGAATCTCAGCCAGTTTTAAACCTTTTATATTGATAAGAAATTCAATTTTTTATGTAAGTTAACCGTTTTTGCCGTCCACCCACGCATTTAGTTTATAGAGATGCACACTAGTTGTGAACTGAATATATCATTTTGTTTTATATAAAGACTAAAAAATATTTGAAACCTAACATAACCTACAACATGCCTATTCAATATAAAAAAATAAAATATTATTTTGCACTTACCTTAAGTCTGCATAACTTAACTGAGTTAGCAAAATCTGCAGTAATTAGATATCAAAAGCCAACCATAAATAAACAGAAAGCAGTAACGCACTAGTTTGCTACAATTTTTAATGTAGAACAACGCAGTTATTCATACTTCGGACTAAAAGTTTATAATTCACTGCCCCAAGTACTAAAATCAAAAATTTATTACAAAAACTTTAAAACTATTATTGCGAAATGGATTTTAAAGGAAACTGTAGATATAATCGGTAGCAATTTCATATTTTGTGGTAATTGAAATACAATAAATGAATTGGAATTACTCCAAAGTACTTGAATTACTATAATGGAATTGAATTGTTCCAAAAATAATTCAATTACTCAAATATCTTTAAAGTGATTACCAATTACAATTACTTTCTAAAAAGTAATTGAAGTTCTAATTAATTCTATGGTTGCAAAAACCTAATTGAATTAAAGTAATTCAATTACTGAAAAGTAATTTAATTACATTTTCATCTCTTTTAATTCAATTATTTGACAGCTCTGGTTAGGCTCTACAGACCAAGGCGTTACTGGTGGCCCACCATTTTTGTTCTTACAATATATTATAAATTTAAGTTAATTTGCCTAGATAAATATAAAAATTTGATTATGCAATTTTTTTAAAACACTTGACATTTCAAATTTTTAATTTTATTTTATTGACTTTATTGAAATTTCGGGAATGGTTACATAATGTCATTATCTAATTTCTTTAGAAGCTATTTGTAAAAAAATATATAATTAAACCTTTTTTATATCTGTAAATCAGCTACAATTTAAAAAATTATGAGTACAAAAAATAATAAAATGTGTAAAAAAATCATTTAAATCGCTTGAGAAATATAAATCAAATATTAAGTATTACCTCCTCTTAAAATGGACTAAAATACATTATACAAAACTAAAAAAATCAGAAAAAATCACAATTTTTTTTTTAATAATTTTTTATTTTTTTAAAAAATCATGATTTTTTCGAACCTTGCTATTATGGCAGTCAATGTGTTAAAAATAAGAGAAACGCTTTTATTATATATATTTTCTTTTCTTAACACCATTCATTTTGTATTTCCAGTGTTTGGCATGGTAATCACAGTTGGTCAAGCCATCGTATACGTAATGACAGGCATGTACGGAGATCCTGCCGAAATTGGAGCCGGAGTATGCCTTCTCATCATCATCCAACTCTTCGTAGCGGGTCTTATTGTACTTTTGCTCGACGAACTCCTCCAAAAGGGTTATGGTCTTGGTTCAGGTATTTCACTCTTCATCGCTACGAACATTTGCGAAACCATCATCTGGAAAGCCTTCTCGCCGGCTACGGTCAACACCGGAAGAGGAACTGAATTCGAAGGAGCCGTCATCGCGTTATTCCACTTACTCACTACTAGACAAGACAAAATCAGAGGATTACGTGAAGCTTTCTACAGACAAAATCTACCTAATCTTATGAACCTCTTATCCACTGTTCTCGTTTTTGCTATAGTGATATACTTCCAAGGATTTAGAGTGGATTTACCAATCAAGAGTGCAAGATATCGTGGACAGCATTCCAGTTATCCAATTAAACTTTTTTACACCTCAAACATTCCTATTATCCTGCAGTCGGCTTTAGTGTCGAATTTGTACGTTATATCTCAGATGTTGGCAGTGAAATTCCATGGGAACTTTTTGATTAATCTGTTAGGAGTTTGGGCTGATGTAGGTGGCGGCGGTCCAGCTAGATCCTACCCCATTGGCGGGTTGTGTTACTATTTATCTCCACCAGAAAGTGTTAGTCACATTCTCGAAGATCCCGTTCACGCATGCCTTTATATCGTTTTCATGTTGGGATCATGTGCTTTCTTCTCGAAGACGTGGATTGAAGTATCTGGAAGTTCCGCTAAAGACGTAGCTAAGCAACTTAAGGAACAACAGATGGTGATGAGAGGTCACAGGGATAACTCGATGATTCACGAGTTGAATCGTTACATTCCCACTGCCGCCGCGTTTGGTGGATTGTGTATTGGAGCTCTTTCGGTGCTCGCTGATTTCCTTGGAGCCATCGGAAGTGGTACTGGTATTTTATTGGCAGTAACGATCATCTACCAATACTTCGAGATATTCGTTAAAGAACAAAGCGAGATGGGAGGCATGGGCGCCTTACTCTTTTAGATAATTTAAAAGTTCAGATATCACTGAGCATTTTGCTTTGATTGATGTGTGATTTTTGTTTGGTAAATAATAACTATCCTTGTTGTTGTTTTCTGTTTTTTTTTATTCAGTATGTACCTCAATGTTTATATTCCATGTATAGTTATTATTTATTCCTAACAATTTATGTCACTTTGTATAAAGTGTGAAACATTTTTTGTACTAAAAGAAAGAAAAAATAGATAAATATATTTAATTACATGAATTTTGTGTTTAAGAAAGGCGAGATATTTATATTTGTGTGGATGTTTCATACCACTTAATTACATTAATTAACAAATTACATTTCATTTTTCATGCAGTAAGGTTGTGTAATGGTCATATATTATTTGTTATTAGATTTAATTTATTTTAAATATAGAAATTTGTCATAGATAGTTTTTCATTATGTACCAAAGGAGGTGCTTGTTAAAATGTTTTTTTTTTATATAAAATTAGGTTTTTCCCTTCATCTTATCTCCCGGTATAAGTTAAACAACTTGGATTGTTTTAAATAATTGGATGTGTTCAGTTTATATGATGTTCAAATCAAGGCAGTATCGTTAAGTTTTAACAAAAACAAATCATTCCGTTATTAATTTGACATACGTTTTACTATTAATTTTAGAATTTCACAATCCTAAAAAGTATGTTTTAACTAAAGAAAACGCACATATTGAAATAAAACGAACAATTAGATTATTACTCTAGTCAATGGCATGCATTGAACTAGATAATTATTCAAGGTAGTACGTTGATATTCTAAAAAGTAAAACTGTCACATTTTGGATTTAAATAGAGAGACGACTGGAGTAAGACTCTGGTTTTGGACTGCGGTCCAAAACTCTTGCCAAAAGGCGAGATTCGTTTCAGGGCCCTAAAAGAAAATTCATAGGTAAGTCAATGATTACATGTGGTTTGGATACCAAAAGTACTTTATTATTAACTAGTTTTTGGTTAAACCGCTATCACAGTTTAGCAGAAATATCAAATAATAGTTTTTGTTTTAACACATTTTTTTTTCTGTATTGTCTCCAATACACAGTAGTGCACAAAAGATAATGTGGTCCAGCTTCTCATTTCCTGGTCAAGTCCAGATTTCTTAATAATATCATTAACATAAATTAGGAATAAAACCGGTCCCAGAACGGTTCCTTGGGAAATCCCACAGTGAATCATAGAAAGCATTGATGTTTGCTTATTGAAACTCTTTGTACTCTATTCTCCAAATAAGATTGGAACCACTTTAGAGCTATTCCTCGGAATTCATATTTTTGTAGCTTGCTCAGCAATATTATGTAAAATACACAGTCAAAAGCTTTGGATAAGTCACAGAACACTGCAGCAGCTACCTTGTTATCATTTAAATTTTTCTAGAACAGAAAAACAGCATCGGTGGTATTTTTACCCGATTAAAACCCAAACAGATGTAGATTTTTTAAGATTCTCATCTTGACCAATTTTTCAGTAAATTTTGCCAAAGTGGGTAATAAAGAAATGGGTCGATAGTTAGAAAGACAATTATGATCACCGCCCTTGTATACAGGTATAACGTTGGCTATTTTTAAAGAATCACTGAAAGAACCTGTCCAAAATGAATGATTGATTCTGCTAAAAACATTTAAAGCATCTTCTGGAAGATATGAAAGAAGATTAACTGAAATTTCATCCCAACCTGAGGAATTCTTTTTGGTGGTTGAGGCGATTCTTGAATTGATTTGTGGAAGTAGAATTAAATGGCGGTTCCAATGACCTATACTCTATATTGATAAAAAAAATATCCTCAGGGGCTTAATACATTTTTCTTTGGAAAGCTTTTGATCATGACCTCTCAGATTTGTATTGTGACTAAAGTAGTACATGTTTCTCAATGAGATCATCTCTGGTTCTCCTATCTCTTAAAGTTGTTAGGTCTAATCTTGCAAGCCTGTCCCTCATATGGCAGCTCTTTAAGGTTTTGTGGTAATCTGGTTATTAGCCTTAGCACTTTTTCTATCTGCTCTGTCTTTGACTTAATATGAATTCCAGACAGTTTGGGCATATTCAAGTTTTGGTCTTACATATGATTTTTCAAGGTAATTTTTGTTGATAAGTCTTTAAAGGCCGTTTGAATGACCTACCATTGAATTGGCCTTTTTGGTTATTTTTTGTGTGATGTATTTCCCATTTTAGGTCAAATGTTAAAGTGATTCCTAAGTCTTTTTGTTTTGTTATTGATGTAATTTCTGTTTGTTCAAAAAGAATTTGGGATTATTTTGACCGATATGTAAAACGGTGCATTTGGAATCATTCGAAGGCATTTTCCAATCCTGTGTCCACATTTTAATGTTGTTATAAAGCCCATTTGTAATTCAGCATGGTGCAGCAGTAGATTTGCATATGAGTTTTTCCATCATCGGCAAATAAAACGTTATTGGTGTAAAGCCCTTGGTAAAGATTACTTAAGTACCATATAAACAGCAGTTGTCCTACGACTGATCCCTGCTGAGGAACAGCGCTGTGTATACTTTGTGCTCTTTTGAAAGTGAGGAATCCACGCACGTACCTGGGACGTACGCTCAGTGAGGAATACCTCAAACAACTTCAGTAGTTTAATGTTTAAAATTTTTTGCACGGTTGAATAGAGAATAAAACCCCCTTTCAAATGAGCTATCACTCACCACCCCATGCTATTTAAATTTTTCGAAAGGGTTGCTACCCTCCAGTAAGGGATGAAATTAAGGGTAAACTAATCATGCAAAAATGTACATTGTAGAAATCAAAAATCGACCTGTCTCGGCGATTTTCCTAACAAGACCCCAGTAACGAGTTAGATAGGGGGGTAAGACTTATGATGCTCACTGTATATATAAAATTGTTTGTCCTGACTGACCTATCAGCGTACAGCCAAAACTACTGAGCCTAGAAAGCTGAAATTTGGAACATAGGTTTATTTTATAACGTAAGCATCCGCTAAGAAAGGATTTTTGGAAATTTTACCTTTAAAGGGGGGAAATGGGGGGAGGGAGCTTTTAATGAAACTCTTTGTTCTTTAAAGTTAGAAACATGAAAATTTAAATTACAGCTACTAAGCCTAAATAAATAATGACGTGTATCAGGGTTTTTGGATTTTCACATTTTAAGGGGGGAAAACAGGGGGTGAAAGTTTGTATGGGACTATCGATTTATTTTTGTTCTCTTTGAAGCTGGAAACATGAAAATTGGAATTGCAGCTACTGACTACAAATTATTAATGACATGTTTCAGAGTTTATGGATTTTCACATTTTAAGGGGGGAAATGGGGGGTGAAAATTTATTTGAAAGTATCCATGTTTTTGGTTCTCTTTAAAGTTAGAAACATGAAAATTGAAATTGCAGCTACTGAGTACAAATTAATAATGACGTGTTTCAGAATTTTTGGATTTTCACATTTTAAGGGGGGGAAATGGGGGGTGAAAATTTATTTGAAAGTATCCATGTTTTTGGTTCTCTTTAAAGTTAGAAACATGAAAATTGGAATTGCAGTTACTGAGTACAAATTAATAATGACGTGTTTCAGGGTTTTTGGAATTTCACATTTTAAAGGGGGGAACCAGGGATGAAAGTTTATTAGAAAGTATCGATTTTTTTTAAAGATAGGAACTTGGAATTGTAGGTTCTCATCATAAATAAATAATGAAGTCTTTTAGGGTTTTTGCATTTTCACATTTTAAGGTGGGAAACGGGGGGTAAAAATTTGTTTGAAAGTATGTATATTTTTTTGTTCCTTAAAGTTAAAAACATGAAAATTTGAAATACAGCTACTGATCAAAAATAAATAATGATTTGTTTCATTGTTTTTGGATTTTCACATTTTAAGAGGGAGGGGGTAAATAAAAATAAGTACTGCGTGCAATCTGGTATTATCGCGTCTTTTTTAGGAAGTCATGTATTTTTTTATACTAAAAACAGACACGCATGCGAAGCCGAGGGCAACAGATAGTCTGGAATAAAAGAAGTGGCATTCTATTTAAAATAATAAATTTAACACCTACTTCTGTTATAAGCGGAAATGACAGAACTGTCAAAATATTTTAGATGGAAAGACCCTTTACTATTTTTAGAAATTATTAACAAAATACATTCATTAGTTTGTTCCCTTCACTGGACAGCCTGTATATAAATAAACAGGTCTTTATTTACATAATCATAGGTAGGTATTCATTTCTAGACAAATCGGGACGGTGGTGTAGCGGTCTATCGCGCTTATATTCATTTATAGGCAAGTTTATGAGTCTGAGACTGCTGGGTTTCGAATCCCAGACCGGACCATGTGGATTTTTAATTAAATTGCATGGTTCGGTTTAGGATTTGATGTGTGGCGTATTAATAGAAATTCAATTTCTGTTGATGACATGCAGATTAAAAAAAAAAAATTCGCCATACATTACCGTCACGATGATGGTGGGTGAGGTTTTCCTCACCTGTAAGTCAAATGGCACCATCAATCATCTTTAAGTCGCCCCGGAGCGCCACGGCAAATAATAATAATAGCCGTCCTTTCCCCTACACAAGTCGTTCAGTCGACTTCAGGGGTTGAAATTCACTCGTAAGGGGGTGAATTAGGGAGAGTATTATTATTATTATATCTGGATACCCTTCTTCAGATAAATCTTATAATCAATAATACAGCTGCTTAATACATTGATTACATTTTCATCAGAAAATTAGTGTTATTTATTGTACTCTTGTACTGTATAATGCTCTCTTGAGCTCCTGCTAAAAAAGTTGGACGGAGTGCAAGTTTTAGAACTCCAGTTTTCCTATGGTAAACGAAAAACTAAAAGAGTTACCAATTGAACACAAATCTTATACTGAAAATGCCAGAGTATCACTAATGGAAAACGCTATTAGATTGCTTTGGTTGAGGTATATTATGGAGTGTACTCCATAAGCTATATCAATCAGAAAACAACTATAATGCTTTGTCTATTTATAGTCGTTGAATGAATGACATGTACATGGTCTAAAAAGAAAAAAAAAGAAAAAAATTCAAATTTTATTAAATAGGTAATTTACAAACAACTTTCATTTTTCTTTCTTAAAAAGTACGACTTATCTTTAAATTTTTCTTTTGGTATTTTTATTTTGCCTTTATTCGACTTATTTTTTTTGCCTTTATTTTTTTTAATACCATTTTTATTTTTTTGCTTTTTTAAAGATTTATTTAATTTTTGTTGTTTTCGAGATTTAATTTTTGGTAAATTCTCATCAGTTTCGAATGAATCATCACTTAATTCCACTACTTCCTTTGAATCTACTTGATCTGTTGATAAATTGCAATCTATAATAGAGTCTTCTAATTCAACTATATCACCAATATCATCATTAATTTCAAAACCTCTTAAATCGGTTATTAATTCTGATTTAATTTCTCTTTTTTCTTCATCTTTAACTAGTATATATTCATCACAGAATTCTATATCATCATCATCGTCTACTAAATTGAAGAAAGATGTACTAGGAATCTCTGTAATATCAACTAGTTGTATCTCTTCATCGAGTTCCAACCAATCTATATTTAACCACTCTTTGAGGTCTAGGGGTAACTCATTAACATCTGGCAGCCATTTGCCCCCACCTTTTAACTTCCTTGAATATATTATTAATTTATTATAGAATTCACATATTTTGTTTGTTGCAAATTTCGTTAATGCATATATTCTAGAAATAATAGAATACACAATTATTCCCACTTTCCAGAGATGTCCAGTTTTTAAACGAATGAACAAAAGACCAGCAGCCTCAAGGCAACTCTCGACAATTTTTTTAAGCAAGCAAGATATACCTTGTAGTCTTACTAATAAAAAAACTATTAAGTTTTTTGAGGGTAGATACGTTTTTTTCTTGTATTTCTTTGGTATAAGACCGATTATTGTTTTCAAATGTGATACTATGTCTGTGTTGAAATATATCTTTAAAGATTTACAAACTTGTTCAGTGGCTTTAAAATCTTTTGATGAACGAAATTTCTGTTTCATTCGATAGATTATTCTTCTAAGTACTAAATATTCTGCTTCAATGTATTGGTTATCCTTAAAAAATATTTTAAGTCTTCGGCACAGATTGGACAATCGTTTTAAATCTGAAAAAATATAAATTATAAAATATCCCACAGATAATAAAATACATACTTATATCTTTCTTTAATGTTTTATATGTAGATATTGGTGGAATTGGCAAATTTTTTTGATTCCATTTAGGCATAATTGCAGTTTTATTTAATTTAAATTCACAAATCACTCATTACGTTTCTACACGTGTTGCTGGGCTGTTGTCACAATCAGCAACAGACAATTTCTTTTTTTAGTGATAATATGGTCTCTATCAAGTAAAGCATTTACCCAACTAATCTGCTATCTACTTTACCTCAAATTTCTTGTTATAGATTTAAGTCCATGTTTATAAAGATAAAATAAACCATAAATCGCACTTTGCTTAGTTCTTCCTGAACCCTTTTGGGGCCCCCGCACAACCTTATCCATTTATTGCATTTTAAATTTAGGAAAAGTTGATATTTTATTTGACACTGACAAGTAACAGAACAGCTGCGACTTTGACAATTTTGACATAAACAAAAAGGATTGATTTGTTGAAAAATTGAGATTACCTTTATTGCTTGTATAATTAATTGTGTTTAATGTGTGTCTTTAATAAAGATCCAGAATGATTAAGAAATCTGTGATAATTTTTCTGGGGACAGTTTTTTGTGTATCAGGTAATTATCATATTTGAATACATTTAAATTTATAACATGAAAATAGGTTCCATTCTTATGACTATAGAAAACCCTATTAACCACCTACCATTAGATTAGTTAAACTTGTTTTATCTTTACATTTATTGCATATTGTTCAAATACTTAGTAGCCACGGAGTGTATAGTAAAAATAAAATCTAGCAGTAATTATTTATCTGACCCTTCTCGAAAATTTTATTTCTATAATCACAGAATCCCTAGCAGAAAATGTAGTTTTACAATATGAGTTAGGGGATTTACCTAGATTCTGATTATTCCATTTTGTAGTTATTATATAGATTGTATACTTGGAAATTTCATATCTGTCAAGATTTGCATACTGGAACAGATAAGTGTAATATTTATGATCCTTTTATCTTTATTGCTTATCTGCACTGTTTTTATTGCAAGAAATCAATTTATATTTTAAAAATTCATATTCTGAGGTAGTTATTTAAAACTGCTTATCAAGGGCAACAAGGCAGGAAGTTGCAAAATCGATATTTTTCAGGAGATAAAAAAAATGATTCACAAGTACATAGAACAATCCATTTTACTCTATAATAGGACTAATATGGTAATCTTGTAGTTAGAGGCTCTGGAAATGCACCTGTCTGCACCATTCCTGTTCCGGCTAGTTATGACAGTTGGAATCATTACATATAGTTGCCGGGTTATATTTAATTATTTGAAACTTGAAATATTGAAATAAATATTTTACTTTTAATCATCTATTTGCCAATTTTTACATCGATTAAAAATCCCATAAAAATAAAAAAAAAATGTTCTGATGATTTTCAAGTAATAGGATCGTTATTTTAAATGTCAATAATACCTTTCAATAGTGATAATTACAAAATTAAAATTTGTGTCAAATTCAAATTCTAGATATCAGTGGAGAGTGGTGTTAATATGTGCATTTCTAGACCCGTCAACTACAAGATTACCACTAATATTTACCCATGTTTTGTTCAAAAATTGTAATACTTCCCCTATACAGTAGATGGAGCGAAATGTTTTAAACAAGATTATCATAAAATATAATTTTTAGTGAAAATGTTAGTTACGTGGTCCTGCATTGTGGTCCTTGTTATTAATGTATTTCAAATTTGATAACTACACCTGGTTACACTTTTCAGACCCCCAAACCAGGCGTGGCGTGGGGCAAAGGGCGGAGGGGGCTAAGCTTTTCTGGGGCATCCAAACCTTTGTGAGGGGCGCCAAAGGTGCTCTAAATGCAAATGTAGGAAGGGGGGGGGGGGGGCTATACTCTACGCCACTGCTCCAATCCTTTTTTCTCATTTTTTACATTTCAAAGATTCAGTACCAAAAACAAATAAAGGACCAGAAATATCTTAATATTATTGTTATTTTTTTTCTTTGACATGTATTATTCCTTTTGAATAAACATAAATATTTTTTACATATTTAGTCAACAATATTTAAGAGTTCAAAGTACTTGGGTACTAATTATTGTGGTGTGATAAGCCCATTTTAGAGCATACACTGACTAATTCGCCATTACCAAAGCCGTTAAAAAAGAAGTGACAAAACTGTTTTATGCAATAGAATTAAAATTTACCATGAAAAAGAAAAAAAATTATCGATCTATTTTTTTAGCCTATGAAATTATGCTTAAAAATGATGGCCCAATAGTTAAAGGTGGAACAATAAGATTTATGGTCATGGTCTATGATAATAACGTTCCATCAACAGATGAAATGAGATTTGAATGGAGTGATGACGCAATACCTCATCATACAAGAAAGGTTTGACTGTACATTATCTATTTTAATTTTTTTTGTAATTTTTAGGTAAAAGAATCTAGAGATAATATTAGTGTTTAATGTCTCTCTAAGCATAAAATTCGTATCTACATTTTGTTTTTTATTAATTTCTGATTCCAAGAAAAATATTAAAATGCACATTGTTAAACTTTAATAGCTATCTGTATCTGTAACGTGTGGAGGGCGGGCTACCCCATGGCACCTATGCCTCATTAGGCCCATTGTGCATCCTCCTGAGATGATAGGCACCTCCTAGCTCGTGAGCCAGCCTACAGATTAAATGTAGTTGACAACGTCGCCAAGAGGTGCTTCTCTTATATCGGCCGGTGTTAGCCGATACTCGCCGAACACAAATCTTCTAATAAATGAGAGCGTCGAGCAATCATAAAGGATATGCTCGATGGTCTCATCTTCTTGTTCGCACCCTCTGCAGTGTGCGGATTCTGACAGCCCCATGATATGGAGATGCTTTCATACTTGGCAATGACCAGTCAGAATGCCTGTGAATAGGCACAAATTTTGTCTAGTCATAGTCAAGTATTTGTTTGCTGCAGTGTTGTCAGGATAACTTAAGAACTCCCTGGCAACTCTGCAGTTTCTTGTTTCATCCCATCTTTCCATGAATTTCACAAGGGAATGTTCTTTTATTAGGTCTTTCCTCGGGTCTTTCACTACCGATTTTGTCAGGCCAATAGAGGGGCCAGGTCCAAAAAGTATTTGGTTGGCTGCTTTCTTGGCTAGTGAATCAGCAAGACGGTTACCTTTCGATGTGGCGTGACCTTTGATTCATCTTAAGGTGACCACATTGTTGCTGGATACTTCAGCCAAAGCTTCATGACATTCTAATAAATTTAGTAAATTCGTGGTCTGTTCAGGGTGAGTAGTGCTTGTCTGCTATCTGTATAGATGAGCATGTTACTTCCAGTGATATTGTTTCTGGTTATTTCTTTTGCTGCTATGAGAATCCCCGTTAGCTCTGTTTAAACTATACTGGCACTATTGCTCACAGCCCATTTTATGTTTAGGTTTAAGAATCTGGAGTATATTCCACATCCTGAGCCTTGTTTTGTTTTAGAACCGTCGGTGTAGATATAAATCGTACCTGCCACTTCCGGCTCTTCTATTTGTTCTATCATAACTTTATATGGCTTATGAAAGATATATTTCGGTGAGATGGAGTCCATGTTCGCTTGAAGCAGAGGGAGCGTATCGAGCGCCTCCTGCCAAAAGTGACGTCTCGCCTTACTAGATCTTACATCAAGTTCTATTCCGACCGTGTGGAGGCGTGTCATTGTCGTCAGAGCAACCTCCTTGATGTAAATATCAAGAGGAGTGAGACTAAGAATGACTTCCACCGCTCTAGTCGGTGTTGTTTTCATGGCTCCTGTTATGTTGAGACATGCTGTTCTTTGAATTTGTTCTAGTTTATGAATAGCTGTTAATTTTTGGGTTTTCGGTACCCAGACAACCACCGTATTTTTTTTAGATATATTTATTTATTTATACAAGTTCATACAAGTTTATTAATAATGTAATTTCTGAAATATAAAACAGCAAGCGCCTAAGTGTATGAACACTTGTATTGCGCTGGTTAATATATGTTTAATAATTTCATTTTAATATAATATAATTGTAATAATATTGCGTACATCTTAGAATAAAATAATGATGTGATTACAGATATGTTTATACCTACCCTACCTAGTATTTTTATTAACTTATAATAATGTAAAATAATAAATGTTTTACTTTGTTTAGAAAAAGTTTTTATGTTTGTAACATTTCTTATACTATGTGTTAAAAGGTTATATGTTTTTGGCAATGTATATACCAAGAATCTATGACAAACATTTCTATTAAATTTAGGAAAATATAGTAGCTTATTGGAAATACTTCGCGTACTATACACAGAAGTTACGTAATTTTGTTTAGACTTGTTGTTAAAAGCATATATACAAAGACTGTGAAAGTAAAGCGATCTAATATTACAAATATCTTCTGTATACAGCAAGTTAGTGTGATAGCGTTTATTTCGGCTGTAAATAATTTTTAAAATTTAATTTTGTGTAACATTCAGCTTTTGTAAAGAGTTCTTATACAATCCACCCCATACTAGAATACCGTAACGAAATAATGATTCAGAGATTTGAAAACTAACAATAGCAATGTTTTTGACAAAATTTCACGTAATTTATAGAATTTATAAATGAGTTTCCTTACTTTTTTTGTCAGGTAATCAATATGGTTACTCCATTTTAAATGTTAGTCAATGATTATTCCCAAGTACTTGATCTCATTTGTTTCTTTGATTGCCTCATTCATACCTTTAATTTTTATATTAGTAAAGCAAGATCTATTTGCATCTGTAAGACTAAAAGCAATATAGCGAGTTTTATTTATAATCTTTTCCAGTCCTACCTCAATTTGGTTTCTGCCCATGTTTTCCCACAAAATAAGACAACTGTATCATCAGCATATGACACAGTGGTTGAACCTGTCCTTAAAGAGAGCAACGAGTTAATATAAACTAAAAATAAAACAGGGCCCAAGACAGTACCTTGGGGAACTCCTATTTTATCAGTATCAGCTTCACTTATGTTAGCATAGGTCTTATGATAGCCGTGTAAGTCCATGCGACGACTCTGGGAGAGAAACTCCAGGTGCGCCCCACGGTTCGGTGGCATTGTTCATAAGCAATGTTTTCTAAATGCGAGTTCCATGTTAACTTGCTGTCAAAGGTGAGACCTAGGTACTTCACCTTTGTTGCAAAGTTTAGTTTTGTATTTAGGAGTTCTGGATGTTTTAATTCCATTTTCATCCTTTTCCGTGTGAAAAGGACCATTTCTGTCTTCTTAGCTATTTATGCAACCAGTTACTAAATGCCTTATTTTATGTAACGAGTGAATATTTGCAGAGCGAGGTCCCGCAACATGAACGAGTTACATAAAACGGCATTTCTTAACGTGTTACATACAATATTTACTAAATCATTTATAACATTGTATTTTGGTAAAACATTACTGACTTCTAGGCAACCAGTATGACTTTCTTGTATTGATAGTTGCATATGCGTAATTTTATTAACAAATAGAATATCATATGAATTATTTATTATATTGCTCATTAAAGTTATTTAGTTTTCAAAATAGTGGGTTATTTTGTCGTGAATTGTTTTAGTATTATTGGGTGCTTTTTTAGAATGGAAAATAAGAACAAAAACAACATTATTACTAGGTTGTAAGTTTAACCAAATTCTATTTTTATAAGTCAACTTGCTCTTCTTTGATATAAACTTTCAATGACAATCTATGTATTGATTTTAAAACCAAAAAGAGGTTTATTTTTATGTTTTCCTTTCGCAACTGGTGACAATGAATTTTTTCGTAACATTATGCAACTGGTTGTGTAAAGTAGATCATTTTGACACTTGCGATTATAAAAATTGTCACTTTATATGTCAAAATTAGAAAAAAACTTTTTCTAATATTATTGATATGTAGCAATGCTGTACAATACATGTTGTTGAATAGCTTACCTGATCTGTAGAGATTGCAGCTTATTATAGCCATTAATGTATGTCTAATTTAAAAACCCTTTGAGATTAGATACAGATAGACAGGAATAGCGATTCATGCCGCGTTGCCAAATTTAGTAGTATTCTGCTTAGATAAAATATTGTAATATAAACAATTGATGATTTTATATTGTTAAGCTAGTTTTTGGTATCTCAATTTATTTCAACTCAATTTTTACAATAATTCAACTGATAACATTAACGTATAAGGTCTATCATAAAACTGCCTGTCTGACGTCAGGATCACCGACTTATATAGCTCACTTTAACCTTCTAGAAACAAACAGATGTTTCTTGACGTGGAATGACATTTCTCGAATATTTTTCCTTATTCTTCTTTTACTCGCACCTTTACTTATGACGATCGCAGCACACTATAGGGTGACATGTAACAATATTACATTTACTAATATTGAAATTAATAACTTCGTTTTTTTTTAAATCAACTTTTATTTTCAAAAACTACAAACTATTATTTTCAATGGAACAGTGTAAAATCTAGTAACGGACTGTATTAAATGATTTTCAGTAAAAAAATACCATGACAACCAAAGAGCCTTCAACATTTCCCCGATTGTACTATACTACATAAGTTTTTATATGAGATGGATTTGATTGTATTTGTATGTTTATAAACTTAAAAGTATATGTTTTTTTTAGTCTGAATTTGTTAAAAACGGCACAGACTCTTGGAAAGTTACATATGATGCAAATGTCAATCCAGCAGGACCTTACATAGTTCAAGTAGTTATAATAAAATGCAACTGGATACGATATTGTTATGAAGCTGGATCAGCTAGAAGTCAATTTGATATAACCAGTAAGTAAAAAATATCGCTAAAATAATTTAAATTATATAATTTTCTTTCATGAAGCAAATTTAAATGGAAAACTATTGGTTAAACAAAAAAACGAAACTTTATCCAATAATTTCGTCTCTACAAAAAACGAAGTTACATTTCATACTAAAATAAAGAACAGCGATATGGAGTTTATAAAAACGGCACCATTATTGAACACCTATTGGTTTGTCGACTGCACTTATTATGGAATCACGAATGATTTGAGGTTTGTAAATATATTTTTTTAATGATTGTTATCTGTTAAACATACAATCAGTTTCTGAGGTAGTTATTCCTACTGCTTATTATGTCTTTAGTTATACTATTTTTTTTTTATTACAGCTTTGCATCAAATTTTACATCGCCTGATAAGGATCATCTAGTGGAGGCATTAGTGGTGGCTGATTTTAAACCTCCTGTGCCGTCTACTACTACTACCACCACAACTACTACAACCACTCCTAAACCAACTACTACAACCACTCCTAAACCAACTACTAGCACCAAACCAACAACTACAACTTATCCAACCACTAGCACTATACCAACCACTAGCACTACAACTATGTCAACAACAACTACCGCTAAAACTCCGTCAACAACCACCAATAAACCAAGCTCTACAACTCCTCCAACTACTACAACAAAAGTAATAAAAAGACATGCTGAACCTAATCATTTTGAAAGATTTAATACTAAAGTATGGAATAATGGTAGTTTAACACCTTACAATGTCAGTTTTCCATACATATGCAACAGTTCTTATATACCAACAGACCCGGATAAAGTTTATGGGTACTTTTTCAAGAAGTTCAAGACAAGAGGTACATTTTTTCCTGTCACATTACACAGCCCAACAGACATTAAATCAATAGAAAATAATGCAAACAGTTAAATTTTCTTCTAAAACAGAATATACAACTGCAAAGTTCTTGGGAATATTGATCAATTCTTTGTTAAAATAGAAAAAAATATATAGATTATTTAGCAACTAAATTTAACAAGGTTGTTTTTCAAATAAAAAAAGTTGTGGCAATTACGAGAGGATATAGGCAAGGGAAGGTAAACAATTCTTCGAGTATTGCTGGAGGTAATATAACATTATATTTTTTAAAAACTAAAAGAAATATCTAAGTTGTATGCAACAGTTCTTACTGCAAAACATCCAGAGGACAGCTTCTTACACAAACTATTAACATGGATTTAAAATTTTCTTTGGTCAATGAATAAGAATTTATCGTTTGTTTGTTTTTTGCAAATTTGTTGCTGTCCAACTGAAATTATACTGATATCGCATCTGAATGAGACAATATTTGTTTTCTTTATCTTAATAATGTCATTGTTAATCATATTAGACAACTTTCTCAGAGACAGAGATATGACGAAGTATCCATTAATATCATTGGTATAAATTAAAAATAAAACCGACCCCAGAACGGATCTTTGAGGAACCCCATAGATCAGGGGTGCACAACGCCAGTATCGTTTTGGCTGCTGGCCGTTGACCAGTTTGACCCGCCTACGTCAAATTATGCATTTTTCAGTAACAAACTTGCATTTAGGCTGACGACCTTCTTTTTTAGAAATCTGAACCGACTATTGTAGGCACAAGCCTCTCTTGGCGGCCCTCTTACAGTTACGATTTTTCAAATCTTGCCCTTTGAAAATTTGAGTTGTGCAGGCCTGCCATAGATAATCGTAGCGAGAGTTGACGTTTGCTTATTGAAAGAAATTCCTTGTACTCTAGTCTCCAAATAAGACAGGAACCACTTTAGAGCTATTACTCGGAATCCATATCGTTTTATCCGATTGAAACCCAAACTGGGATGTAGATGGCACTCCGTGTTTTTTAATTCTCATCTTAACCAATTTTTCAATAATTTTTGCCAAAGTGGGTAATAAAGAAATGGGTCGATAGTAGGACGCTTATAATCACCACCCTTGTGCACAGGTATAACATTGGCTATTTTTACAGCATCACTGAAGGAACCTGTCCAAAATGAATGATCGATTGATTCTGCTAAAATATTTAATGTATTTTCTGAAAGATGTAAGATTAAGATTTAATTAGGACTATGGGCCATGTGGCCTCCCCCACCTCGACCTTTTCAGATCTATTGTGGATATCCTTTAATCATTGATTAGAGTACCTTGTCTAATTCGGTCTTTTGTAGTAGACTCCATAGACTGGGAAGTAGTTCTCCGGTATAGCTAGTTGCCCTTGGTTTTTCTTCTCCAAGTGTAAGGAATCTCAGTCTTACTAGACCTTCGCAGTAGCACAATACGTGTTCTGCCGTTTCCTCTTCTCGGCACAAGGCCTCTTCTGTCAGACCGATATTGAACATATGTTTGTTAAGCCTACAATGCCCTGTTAATAGACCTACTAGTATTCTAGTATTTTTCCTATTAAGGCTTAGTAGATGCTCGGTGAGTTTAGACGATGGTCCTTCTAAGAACTTTTTGGCTTGTCTCTATCCTGGTGAGTTTTTCCACCACTCCTGAGATTTTTTAAACATCCACTGCTTTGTGCATGTTTTGAAAGATGTAAAAGAAAATTAACTGAAATTTCATCCCAACTTGAGGAATTATTTTTTGTGATCGAAGGGAGGATATCCTTAATTTCTACAACATCGGTTAATAAAAAATAAAATGAATCGTTAATATTTAAATTATTTAAATAAGGCAAAGCATCAGTCGAAGGAGTTATTTGGGTGGACAGACTTGGACCAACACAGCAGTAAAAATCGTTGATTTCAGCAGGGCTTAAATTGGCAACCAAAGGTTTAGACCTTTTGCCTCTTAAGTCATGTATTATTTTCCAGGTCTCTCTTTGTTTATTGGTTGCCTCATTTATTCTTTTTTAAAGTATAACTGCTTTAATCGTTTTTCTATAAATTGCACGATATTTGAAGTAATAATTTAAGATGGAATCACTACCACCTGAAGTGGGATTCTCATCTTTCGATACCTCACGTATCGAGACATCTATCTTCATTTGAGAGATTGCGATTCTTATATGTAATGTCTCTCTCTATTCGATATGTATCGTGTCGAGTTTGCACATAAGAATCCCTGTGCTAAACAGTTTTTTAATTAGGTATAAGGAAGGCATATTTTTTTCCGAAATCTTAATCCCTTTAGTTACCTAAGGCTAATTGGGTTTGTTTTTTAGTGTTTTTATAGGAACCGTATTATTTTTTTTTTTTAATTAATTCTCTTAAATTTATTGAAAATATAATTCTAAATAAAATAATTGTTGAAGCTAAAGATTGGGTAATAAAATATTTTAGTGTGGCTTCTGCCTAGAGTAGTATGAAACTAGGTATCTGATGAGGTCATTCAGTCCTTGTTGATCTCAAAAACTAGAGCCAGTACAAAAAAATTATGTCGTTTTGTTGGGCTGTTGTATCATTCATTATTATACCTTATCTAGCTTTTTTTTTCAGATCCTCTATCAAACATTAACGTCACTGGCAATAACTGGATACAGCCGGGTAATATGTTATCGTTGAGGGTACATTGTAACGGGTCGAAAAGTTTCAAATATTGCGTGGAATATAAGAAAGGAGAGTACAACGTTACCGGTAACGAAACTTGCGAAATCTTCCAGCAAGCCGATACGTGTGACTTTGAAGTTAGGAGATTCTTATCTTACCCTAAAAGTACAGTGATCATTATAATCGAGAACGATATTAGTAAACAAGTAACGCCCGTTACTGTCAACATTTATAAAGGTCAGTATTTATAATAAATTTTTGTTTTTTAGTATATTAGTCCAATTGTTATATCAGTGATCGCAAACATGTCAAATTAACTGTCAAGCCACCAGGGCCGGCCATAGACATTTTGGCGCTCCGAGCAAAACCTTAATTTTGCGCCCCCCCCTTTTTTTTAAGTAAATCTCATGCGACCATATCAGAAAGTCAAGAAAACATTGAAAAAAAAAAACCTTTTATTAAAAACTTAATCATCAGATAACAAGATAAGCAATTTAGCACTTAAGGCAAAATAACAAAAATTAAAATGTAGTAATGCTAACTAAACTAATATCCCATATTATAAATAAATTCTAACTAACCAAAGTAATTAAAATGCCCTTTTTCTAACTTTTCTTTCGGCAAACTCACGAACCAGTGATTTCAAGTCTAATTTGTCACTAATTTGGTGTTTTATAGCTGTTGCCAATCCATTGAGACGATTTTGCGTCTTCATCGTTCTGAGATAATTTTTTATTATTTTTAGTTTTGAAAAGCTTCTTTCCCCTGAAGCCAAAGTGACTGGCAATGTAAGTAAGATTCTTAATGCTATGTAAAGGTTTGGTGCGAATTTAAGTGTAGCGATAAACTTGAGAACTTCAATAGGGGTGTCCTTTTTTGTTAATAGTGACGAAACAATGCTTATTTCATCGGCTAGTTCCAGGGCGTTAAGATCGCTTGAATTTCCATCAGTTAAAACTACTTCCAAATCTTTGTAATGAGCCAGTAGCTCATTTCTGGGCATGTTTTTTAGACCAAAAATATACAAAAAGCTGAAATAATTACTGTGAGTATTTAGCAAATTATATCTGGTTTCCAAGGCATTTATTGCTTGATCTATAGTGTGAAAAAAAAATCTATTTTATATTTTTGTTTGAGGTCTTGAAGGGGTTCATCCGGGCCCTCATACAAAAACGTTCTTGTTTTACTTCTGACACCATGACTTGGTGTGGTGGTTTCGAAATTAGCTTCCACATCAATCTCTGAAGCAAGCTCGGTTGCTTCTAAAATGATGCTTTTAAAAGCTTCATCTGATCTCAGGTTTTCAAAGAGTTTGCAGTTGCTAAGCATATCAATAGCTTGTGACATATTGAAATTTACAGTTTGCAAAAGTTTACTGATGGAGTTAATATGACTCAAAATTTTGAACCAGATCACAACAGAGCATATAAATTTGAACTGCTTTAAATTATTTAATAATCCGCTAGCCTCGTCTCTGATCATATTATCGATTTCTGAATCTTCATATATGCTGTACAAAGCATCGTGAATTGGACCAATTTGAAACCGCAGAGCTTTTAATGAGTCGACTCGACTTTCCCATCGCGTATCACTCATTGGTTTTAGGATGTAAGTATCAATATATTTTAGTAATATTGCTCAACGAAAAGAAGATGAAGAAAATGTATATAACTTTTGAACAATATTGAAGAAGTTGGCTGCCTCAAACGAGGATTTTGCCATATCGTTTACAACCAAATTTAGCAAATGGCTGCTGCATGGAACATAAAATGCTCTGGGGTTTATATTTCTGATTCTTGTTTGTACTCCCGATTTTTCTCCTCTCATATTGGAACCATTGTCATACCCTTGACCGCGCATGTTTTCTACTTTATGCCTATTTTTCTCTAGCTTTTCTAGTAAAAACCCAAAAAAATGTTCGTTGATATTAACTTGAACTTCAGACTCTGATTCCTGTATGGAGATAAATCTTACCACAAATGTCATCTGTTCTACTTTACTTGCATCGGGAGTACAATCAAGAATCACGGAATAATACTTGGCCTTTTGAACTTGCTCAATGATGTGGTGCTTTATGTTGTCATGCAATAATTCAATTATTTCATTTTGTAGTTTTCCCTAGATATGTAGCTTTGATTTCTTCTTAATTGAGGACTCTGTGAACGTGTTCCTCCATTTTTGGATCAAACTCAGCCAATAACTGAATTAACTTCAAAAAGTTTCCATTATTGTGTTCATATAATTTATCGCTTGTTCCTCGAAAAGCTAGAGAGCTCTCACCTAGCATTTTAACGACTGATATAATTTATTTCAGAATCAATGAGTCTCTGAGAAACTGCATCTATTGTTTCACCTATTTTCAATCTTTGCTTCAATTCAAGCCATGATTTCAAACAATCTATATGAGTTTTAGCATTTTCATGATGTGCTAAAGAGTCCCCTAAATGCTTCCAGTCTTTAAATCCCCGATTGCCAAGAGCGCTCAAGCTAGATGGTGCAGCAAAAAGTCGACATGGAAAACAGTACAAAGCGTTTTGAAATACGGAATATACCATCCATTCTCTTAAAACCTCTTCTCCATTTTTAAGCCTTTTCTTGTAATGTTTTGGTGAGAATCTTCTATGCTGATCATCAAAAGGAAAATAAAAATTATACAAAGGTGCAGCTGGACCAGGGTTGCCAGACCGGTCGTGTCAATTTCTTCCAAATTGACATTAAAAATCCCCCAAAACCGCAACCTTATAATAAAAATCACCCAAAAAAAAATTAAAAAGTATACAATTTGAATTACAATATTTACCTAAACCAAAAGTTTGTAAAAAATGGTTGTTCCTTGAGATGAAATTTTTAAAAACCCCAAAATATTAATAGTTTATTAAAAAAAAAATAAAAAAAAAACTTTAATAATAATTTATATTAAAGTAAAAAACAACAAAAATTTAGATTATTAATAATAAAAATAATTCTTAAATCTTAATGTGTTTAAATATATTTTAATGTGCCAAATTAAGTACCCCACAAAATGTCCCCGAAAATAAAATCCTCCCAAAATTTACCCCCAATTTGGGGGGAAATCCCCTCATATGGCAACTCTGAGCTGGACCACGTTAAACCAAAAAAACTCTATCTGCTGCACGCATGATTTCGGGCCATAATCCTGGGTCAGAAGAGATACTTTGGACGGTAGCCTTTTCTAAATGTTTCTCTGAGGTCTGCACAACTTGCGAATTTTAATTTTTGGAACTGCACGGAACTGCATCACTACTCGCCAAACTCGTTTGAGATGACTTACCCAGCTCAGTAATGTTGACGGTTGCGTCCAAACCCGCTTTGGATATGGACCCCGCGTCCATATCCGGAAAGTCAGTATCTAGGTGCTGGGCGTTGTTCAAATGTTGGTCGGTTGTGGGAGCGTTGAAACTACCTTCTTTCAAGAAGTTCTGCAGCGCATCTGACTGTTTTTGAAGCTGTTTGCTTGTTCAATCTCCGCTTTTTAAATTCGCTCTCAGAGGGTTTTCTCTTAGCATCGGACATTTTGGTTTCTGGAACAAATTAATTATAATAAAAGATAATACTGATATCAAAAAAAGCCATAATTTGATTTAAATTATAATTTCTGAAATCTCCCCTTGTGTGCCACTGGCTTAAAAAAATGTATTTTATTCAACTTCAGACTCAATTACCTTTCATTCAATATCACACAAGCCATGATTTGATTTAAACTCTAATTTTCGAAATCCCCCCCTTATGCGTCACTGACTTAAAAAAAAATGTATTTCATTCAACTCCAGACTCTATTACCTTTCATTTGATACCACACAAGCCATTTTTTAATATAAACTCTAATATTTGAAATCCCCCCTCGTGCGCCACTGGCTTAAAAAAATAAAATGCATTTTATTCAACTCCAGACTCAATTACCTTTCATTTGATACCACACAAGCCATTTTTTGATGTACACTCTAATTTTTGAAATCCCCCCTTGTGCGCCACTGGCTTAAAAAAATAAAAAAATGCATTTTATTCAACTCCAGACTCAATTACCTTTCATTTGATACCACACAAGCCATGTTTTGATCTAAACTCTTAATTTTTGAAATCTACCACCACCCTTTTCTGGGCTTATGTCTGATGGATTTTTTTGTTTTTAAAAATGAAAAAAATTAAAACACTTACCTTCACAGAAGCCAAACGCACTGGACAATTTGCACAAGCACTTTTTTAAAGCTTTTTTGCACTAACAATTTAAACAAACTATTTTATTTCGCACCAGCCGAAATCTAGTGGCAAATAATTCATTGTTTTAAGTCTACTTCCTTTTTATATGCAGTTAAAAAGGGCTGTTAGATCTTGTTTCGCTTGGTTTCAAAATTGTTGTTTCCTGTACAGTCGTGTTGCCACGGACCGAAAAACTTGTCAATTCTTGAAAGGCGGTGGTTGAGTGATTTTGTCATGTTCAATTGAATTCAACTAGATTTTGCCTTAATGTTTAAATATATTATATTATTTGAATTATGTGCTTAGAAATAAAAATGATAAATTCCGCCTGCCGCCTCTTAATCTTGTCAACTATCAGTCAAATCTTGCAACGCGTTTTTGAGAAAATTCCCGTGAACCGATTTCAATGAAATTTGGTATACTTACAAGGGTCCGATGACAATGCAATATTATGAAAAATAATTTATTGATATATCAGAATGATAAAAAAATATTCTTTACTTTTTAGTGCATTTTATAAAAGCCTGTAACTTAATTTTTTTATCAGTTTATTTTAATTTTCCATGATTTTGGCGCCCCTAGATCATTGCGCTCCGGGCGGATCGCCCTATCTTGGGGCCGTCCCTGAAGCCACCATTAAAAAGGACAAGCAAACAAAATTAGGTATTATCAGTTTTTTTTTTAGTCAAAAACTACATAACTTTTAATAATTTTGAAAATGAATTCGAAATCAGCATCAAATTATCTAAAACATTCCCCATTTAATCTATCTTCTATATTTTAAGCGAGATACAAATATAAAGAGTCGAATTTGGGACATAGTGTATATATGTTTTTCGCTTCAAAAATCTTTAAATGTTGTAATGCATTGTTTTTGTTTTAGTTAAAAAGGAAGGTCAATTGTCTGTGATAGTGGTTCCAGTAGCATTTAGCTTGGTTGCTGTCGTATTAATAGTATTCGGAGTTGCCTATTATTTCCAAAATCGAAGCAGGTAAGCTATCGTAAGAAAGCAGAACAACATTCGTTACTAGGGTCCGATTACAATTAGAAGAACACCGCTACGCCATAACCATTATTACTTCGAATTTCGAATACATATTATCTGTAACTATCAATAAATAAAAAATAAGTAAGTTTTTAGGTATAAAACAATATTTCCTTTATTCATATAATATTAACACTCCAGTAGGCGGTGATAACCAATTAATTACTTTGCCAAATGATGTTGTAGCTGTGTTCTTCTAATTATTATTGTAATCGGACCCTACCTGCCTTCTATGATGACCTGTTAAACGTTAATTCTCTTTATTGTTCACTTAGATTTATAATAGAAGTAGCAGACTTCAATTTCGGCCAACAGTACACCGACATGGAGTACAAAACTTTCCGTGAAAGACTTAGAGACTCTGTGACAAACGCGTTTACTCGCACCCCCACTTCGGGCTCGTCCGAAGCGCATGCGTGGCCTCTCGGTAGGAAATATGGAAGTATGACATGAGTAAGTAGAATCTTGAGTTATTAAAATGCTCTCTTTTTTGCCTCTGCCAATTTAAGACCTTTGTGTTGTTATTGGAAATATTTGGTTTAATTTTACTTTATGTTTTTCTCAGTATATGACTGAAGCACAATCGACTCTATGGGAAGATGCCAATGTAGCTGCTATTGAATACCAAAATTTCTGGCTTCAAATATCTTAAAGCGCATCTAGACATATCACGGACTAAAACGTAGTTTTATCTCCGTTTACCCATGAGTTTTGTATGTTAATTTTTTTAATTTGTTATGCTCTACATTTTATTTTTATTATATTTATAATATACAAGGTATATTCTACAAATAGTGGATTGTTCTCTGCAAATAGGTCAATTTGAAGGTAGAAAATAGTTTCTATTCTGATTTAATCAATAAATAGGATATTAATATATTAAATTTTAAAAAGTATTCTTATATATATTTCGCTAAATCGGGTTGATATAAACATAGGTATATATTTTTTTATATCAAACCCTGCTATCACATTTTTTTTGTAAATTATACTTACGTGCCAAAAATGTTTTAAAAGTTCTCTGTCTTTGTTTTTAAATTAATTACTTGTACTTTCTGGCATCTATGGAAACTAAAATCTTTATCGACATCCACCAAGGAAAACCTGTATTACTGTTCTTTTTTATACCTGAAATACTATGTGAATTACTTTCAGGGCACCATCTCTCTTTTCCGCTCTTTTTTACACATATTCCACTTTTATGTAAAAATTCCTGGAAAAATATGATAAATGGGCAAAGATGTCAATTTTTCATATATCGGCAAAAATTCGGAAAAGATCCACATGTACAGCTTAAACCAAAAATCAAAACTAGGCAGTAAATAGTAGCTGAAAGTTTGAAGCTTTTTAAAAAAAACAAAACTAGAAAAAATCACACATTGCTTTTGGAACGTAAACGTTAATTTTAGAGATTAGCTTCAAGTCAACTTATTGACAGAGAAACATTCAGAGATTGTTAATTTTGAGACAAAAATGATTTATATTAATAAGAGTATTCTGGTTTATGTAAAAATACATGCGACATATTTTGCATAACCAAGAGGCTTCGAATTAGCTAACATTATCCTAAGATATTGTAAAATGTGATAATAGTAGTATGTCTAATTTTAATTTTATATATTATGATTTTAATGTACTATTAATTGAATAAAGTTATATGTAAACGTTTTTATGTTTTTATCTATTCAGTGCTGTGCATAAAAATTATATACCTTGCTACAATAACATATACAACGAAAAAATTATCACAACAATCGCAACTATATTCTGAATAAAAGAAGAGTGCAGTAAAAGTGGGGATATAAAGTCACATTCCAAAGGCGTACGTTGCAAAATAAGTTTCTATAATATAAATAAGGTAGATTAAATTTTGAATGAAGAAAATTATTTACAAAAATAAACCTTATGCTTCTGACAAAATTGTTGCACTTTAACGTTGAACGAATAAATTTAACCAATAAATAACAAGGAGGATTATATGTGTTATTGGGATTAAACTTTTTTTAATCTATTATCATTAAAAGTAACACTTCAGTACCTAAAATTAAAGATTAAAAAAATAGAGTTTAAGAACTATCTTTAAAAGTCACTGTCTTCACTATAACTCCTGTATCATTATCACTGTCTTTTCTGAGGTTTATTATTATAGGGTCTATAGCAGACGCATATTACAAAATGACTTAAACTCACATAAAAAAAAATTGTTACAATTTAAAAAAAAATCAATTTGGTAAAAGATGTTTGATTTTAAATGTTGTGGAATTTCCTTCAATTCAGAAAACATTTATAAACAAATTGTATATAGTCTTAAGCAGTTTTTATAATTCCTATGATGTTCTAATACTAGGGGAGCCCAAGCGGGGATTTTGGATTTTTTTTTATCTGTGGTTACCGGAGTGACCCAAGGATCAATATTGGGCCCTATACTCTTCTCTATATATAGAATTTTCCAAATATTTTCTTTTCGTGTTTACAACAGTACTATGCGGATGATAGTCAGTTATAGATGTCGTTCTCCTGGGATGAAACGAATCAAGCGGTAACTGCTATCAATTATGACTTACATAATCTTTATACATTTTCTATAAATCATTGTTTACAACTAAATGCATCTAAGACTAATGCAATTATTTTTGGAAATAAAGCTGATTCGCAGGTGTTTAAACAAGAATACTCTTCAGATTTTAATTAATGCTCATACTATACAAGTTAGCGATAAAGTAAAAAACTTGGTGGTGTGGTTTGGTGAAAACTTAAGATTTTCTCACCAAATTAGTAACTGTTTAGAAAAAGCTTATGCAGCTCTAAAACTTCCCAGACAGCACACCAAATCCTTTGGATATCTACTGGACATCCCAATATCCATTGAATGTCCAGTCCATGGTGGATATCTATTTTATATCCATGAGATGTAATTTATAAACATGCAAATGTCCATAAATAATAGTAATTATATAACAAATTATTAAAAAATTACGCCATTGTGGCTAATAGTACCGTTTAGATATTTAAAATTAATTTTTTTAAGGTGTATTCAATATCCCATGGATATCCACTAAATATATCAAAGTATAGGCGCGAACGCAAACCAAGGTGGATATCCACTAGATGTAATTTATGGATATAATATGTACCTAAATATCGGAAAATATGTGAATTGATTTCATAATTATTAAATTAATTAAATATTCGCCATGTGATAACTAAGAAAGTATGTTAGGTATAGGTTTATAGAAATTTAAAATAAGTAAGTTTTATTAAATATACCACAGATATCCACTAGATAAATAATATTGGCAATGAACGCAAGTGCAGGCGCGGATATTTTCTGCTCTCACAGGTGCCATCGGCCATTTTATAGTTTGTTTTCATTTTGTTCGTGTCTGGTGCATGAGTTTCATTTGATATTTTTGGATTAAAAGGAGGTAAGTAAGCTTTAAAACCTAAATTTATTAGTGTAAAAAGTTGATAGACTTTAGTTAAATAAGACAATGGTTAAATTCACGTTATTAAGATTGTTAAGTAGGTTATATGCAATGTACGTTAAAATCTGTGTCCTTTTTAGGTAATTTACAACTAGAAATTTGTTTTTACGATACCCTATTTTATTACAATTAAGATGGATGTTATTTTACCTACCTTCATATACCTATTTATTTCGTGTGATTATTATTGTTGGTGATTCAGTTTAGTTTTTACTGTTTAATGGTTGTTATAATTAATTAGAAAGAGGTATTTTTTCACTGGTTACCTTGTATTCAATAGCATGCATGAATAATTTAACAAGTAAGGTTAGGTTATGTACAGCTGGTCCAACAGTTTAGATAAATAAGTATAATATATACACAAATTCAGTCCTTTTAAATTATTAGTTAGTGTATAAGTGACACTCTGCACAAAAGGCTTTTTTCAGACTTCATTTTCGTTTTGGGTATAGCTTGATTTAAAATATAATTTCATTTTTTGAGGAATTCTACAACAGAGCGTCTTTTTTATTTTTTCAGAAAGAAAATTCCAGTTGAAATTGCGGCGCTTATATAATATGTGGGTATGTGTCATTAGGTTTG